AAAACAAAGAAACAATAACAATCAATAAATGTAAAAAAAAAACAGGAATTTGAAAATAAAAGAAATTCAGGAAAAGTTATGTTAATGAGGAAACACCAGAGGTAAGATTAAAACTTCAATATTTAAACTAGGAGATTCAGAATAAAATAAAAGAACGCAATGAATAAAATAAACCACTAAATTCAATGATAAACCATACCATTAAAGAATACGAGACTGGAGACTAAAACTCTAAAAAGACAAAACTTTAAAAAGTCAGACAGAATAATAAAACAACATTTAAGAAGATATAAATAAGTAAAATAGACGAAAACTTAAAAATATAAATAGGTAAACAGTAAAACTGTTAAAAGCGAAACTAAAACAGTCGGCCTCAGGTTTGTTTAAAATGTACATACTGAATGCTGCCCTCAGGTCTTGGGTCTCTTCCTCAGACGTGGACCATTATATTTAAAAGCTGCCTCCCTTAAGTCTCTCTTTGTATTTACAATTAAAGGACTACTGTAGACTCAAGGGCTTTCAAAGGCTTATACCGTAAAAGTAAACTTGGTAAGTTGTTGCGGGACAGTTAAGAGCTTTAAAAACCAATAACATAACCTTCAGATCACTTCTACAGGATATTAAGATTAGAATAATTTAAATGTTTATCTGTAAATTAAAAGTTAAAACGAATTCATATTGATGCCTATTTATGATATCCATAAGCAAACAAGAGCATCCACAACAAGACTTATATTGGCTGAAACCTCTGTGAGGTTAAAATATAAAATATAAATAAAATATAAACAGAAAATGATTCTTCTGACTGTCAAAAGTCAGCAGGATGATATTTTGGGGGGTCAGAAGTCACTATTGACCATATAGAAGAGAAAATAAGCAGAGACTACTTTGTCCACAGGGGGTGCCAAAGTTGACAAAAACCAAAAGTTCCGTATAGATGCTTTAATTATGACACAATTAGGCAACGGCTTCTGTTATTTCAATCAAAACTTCAAATACACTGTGACATTACTTAATTAAATGTACTGATTATTATGTCAGCAGTTGTTTCCAGTGTGATAATTTTTATTACTCACACACAAATATTCACTTCCCAAATCTGCATGTTTTCCCAGAGCTCATTTGAGAGCATAACTTGTCTGTCTGCGATAAATCTGAGTTAGCAAAAGAGTCCATGTCAATAATATTCAGTGTGAGTTTCACTGAATCACTTTCAAATGTGTGCTGCTTTCATTACGCAGAAAGCTTCAGTCAGTATACAGACTTGGGAGATAAACTAATATACATTACAGTCTCTCACAAGTCTGAAGATTCAATAAAACCAATCATTTAACGGAGAAAATGTCAGACATGAATTAAAATCAGGAGCGCTTTTAATGTGAGGAACTCAGCCAAAGGGGATGTAGACAGACTTCATCAAAAGCAGCTCATGATTTATTACGCTGCTTCGCTTTAGGCAAAGCTGGGATTATTCTCTTAGTATTGTTCTATAAAATAACAACAAATATAAGAGGGATGTATCGACAGTTCACTTCAAGTTGAACAAAGTTAGGAGGATTAGTTTGATGTCGCAGGAAAGTTTCACAAAAAAATGAAATAAATGTAATTGTTCCATTTGTTGTCACAGTAGAGGACGTCCTGGAAAAAACCTGGACCCTGACCTGCAGTTAATTACGTGGAAGGACAAATTGTTACCGAACCAGCTCAGAAAGGAATAAAAAGCAGAGCTTTAAGGTAAAGCACACAAAGAGATCCTCGGCTGACCCTCTGTGTTTCAAAGTGCACTCCTGCACCAAAAGTGACTTTCAGTAAATCTCTGTAATATACTCTGGGAACATGACTTGATGGGAAAATGAGCTGAACTGGTGTGTTCAGCTGACAATTTACGGCCATTTGCCGAGCTCACTTTATCACCGAACAGCTCGTACATCCAGGCATTCAGTGTTCTGCACTCTCCCACCGCAGCCGCTTAGATCCAACTTTTAGGTAATAACAGAGACGATCGACAGAGTCAGAAAGAAAGGAAGGATATCTCAGGCACGTTAAAAAAAAAGACACCACCATGGATGTCTGTCTTTTACCGAATTACAACTTCAACACAGTTTACAATAAAACAGATCTGACGGCATGTTTAAGAGTTATTCCTGTATTTTAAAAAACTGATCTCTACTTTTATTTCTGGGGGTTTAAAATCATAAAATGTGCAAAAAGTTTTGAAACAGCTGAAGTACTGCTTCAATCTGCAATCCAAGAAAAGTAAATGCAAACAATTTTAAAGCCACTGTAAGGAATTTTCATGTTGTGTTTATTCTGGTGAACCTTTTCAGTGAAATCTGTTCCTTTTCTAGGATGTAAACTGCATTTCCCATGAGCACCACCTCCCACTTGCAAGAGCATGCATTTAACATGACAGCAAATAAACAGATTACAGACCCTTCTTAACATCAACAAAATGTTGCAAACTCTGATTTATGACTGTCAAATTCTAACGTTTTTTAGTCCTAGCCCTGATGTCATGATGTACGGCCCCTAATACATGTCATATCTAGTGGTTAATCCTGCCCCAGTTTCAGCCCTGGGTACTAAAAAGAAAGTTATCTGAAGAAAGAAAACTCCTCCTGCTTGCTAACTTAGATCTCACTACCAAACTTTACCATCAGAGAGCTAAACAGAGACGTCAAATATCATCTCGGCTGTTCACACAGAGAATCTGACCTGAACAAAAGGCACAAAAATGGACTATATATGTATAATAAAAAAACTCTTTTCAGTGGTAATTTCATAATGCTTTGTAGGTCATGTAGAGGAATCAATATTATTTGGGGCTTATCAGTCAAAACCTCTTCACAGCACCTTTAATATGTCCACGATCAAAGCGATAAATGTAAAACATCATTAGAAAAACAGAGACAGCGTCTAAGTTTTTGGAATCATGAAGACAAAAATCTGATATTTTAACATAAAAAAACAAGAGTTTTGGGTCCACAAATGCATTAATGTGTTACTTATCTGTGCAGCTCCTTCCCGAAACAATTTTTGTGATCGATCTAAACTAAACAGTTAAGAAAGGAAAAAAAGGACAATATCACCAAAAAATCATGACTGTAAGATTAGCGGCTCTAAAGTTGGTGATTTTGTAATTGGAGACTATTGCTTTAAAGATGGCAATGGACCTTTTTTCAGGTTATCTCCATTAGTGCTTTCAGTGAGCCATACACTGCAGTATGCTGTATTGCCACTTTCAAATTTTTTAAAACAACTTTAACAGTGTAGCAAAGCTGCAGGTTCCTTTAACCCCCATTCTGGTTTGTTACATCTAAAATCATCACCCATATTGCACTATGCTTGCATCCTCTCATGAACATTATATAACATTATATCACATGACATTCACTTTTGCTAAACAGTAACGGCAAATTCATGCAAACCTCAAAGTCATCATAAGTGTTTGTTGCATCAATAAGACTTCACACATTTTTACTGACCGCAGAGATTCAGCTTATAATCATAGTTGACTGGTTTAACGCCAATAAGGGGATAAGTGGAGTGCTAGCACTTTTTCCCAATTCAAGCACTCATCACCACGGAAATTTTTGTTGTGTGTCTCTCTGTTCATAGTTGTTTAAAGAACCTGAGACATGGTTTGTCCCAAAGATTACATTACAGCTGTTCTAGCTCATGGATTGCTGCAGATTGAAGCGATCAGTTTTAAGAATTTACATATTTCTCCAGTAAGAGTAAGTTCAAAAGTTTAAGACTGCTGTCAAACACCCCCAAATATGCAAAAATAGGGCTTAAAAACACCAGAATCCCCCTTTACCTCTGTTACCTATAAATACAGCAGGCTTTGTTCTGTGCGCCAGTTCCCATCATGTCCACATGGTTTTTAAGGAAGAAGAAACGGCAAAGCTGTGGTGTCTTTCTTGCCTTCTCAAAAATCATTTTTGGATGTTTTCTGAGCTGGAGCACAACTACTATTGAAGGCGCTGGCAAAGCTCGCAGCGCCAGAGAATACAGAGGACCGAGCTGTGGAGGAAAATATTTTGGAAGAGCGCGTGTTTGCTGTGATTTGCAGAACACCTGTTTCTGAATAACTCCAGCCCGCTCGCTACAAAAACCTCTCTGAATGCGTATTAACGGTTCACGGCTCCGTTAAAGCCCTTGTTCACATGCAAATCCCGCTCTCGCTCGGTTCTGAAAGCCTCCGTGGCTGTGTTGTCTTCACCGACACACACATATTTTCTCTGGGACTTGTCACTGTGTTGTACACCGATGTCTCTTGCTCACTCTCTCTCTCTCTCACTGTCTCTCATCTTTTTCTCCATCCATCTCTCATGCTTGTGTAGAGGAGGATTAGGCCTCGGGAAAAAAAAAGGAAAAAAAAAAAAAAGACTTATCTGTGCTGTCAGTACAGCACAGCAGACAATACCAAAACACACAAACACACACACACAACACTGTAGCACATTCACTTTTTAAAGCAACAAAGATGCGCACTAAAAACAGCTTGTAGGTGCAACAAGCTATAGTAGTGATACAATTCATCGTGGGCTTGGATAACAACTCTGCTTAAAGAGATTAGGCGGGTGTGAAATACTGTACGAACCCCACCAACAAACACCACGCAGAGGGTTTTTAAAGAAAGCGCGACATGCTGTGGGTTTAGTATGCACGAGGGAGGACTGCTTTCAAAGACGAAACTTTGAGCGGCGTCTGACTGTGACAGTCAGGAAAGTGTGTGATAAATTACAGAAGTAGTTGAAGGGTAAAGTGTAATGTTCTCTAATGAAAATGGATGTTTATGAGAAAAGTGAAAGATGTAAATGGAATATGTCTCTCAGAATGAATTGTTACTGTAGAAATTATTGGGTGATGATGATGAAACAGTTGGCAATTAGACTGTCAAGGTTTGCTCTTCATTAGTTTTCATTGTGAGCCGACAGCCACATTCATTCATCAAACTTCACTCTTTTTTTCTGTCTTCATATTGACGTTTTCTATCAAGTTTGGGGTAGATACAGACGATAAAAAAGGCTGCAACTACAGTGTGTGATCACATATCAACACCAGGGTTATTGATAAGGTGGTATCCATCATTTTGATAATGGAGTTCTGTCTGTTTTGGCGTGCACCAGGACGCTGGGCTTTTCACGAAAAAGCGTTTTTGTTGTCGTCTCAGCTTTAGTGCACTTTGGCTCTTCGCGCTCCAAACCATCATTTTCAGAGCGCAGATAGAGTCACGAAACTGAGAAGTTCTTGTCGAAATTGCAGAGCCAGTGGCCAGTATTAGCATTGTTTTGGTGAAAAATTGTCACTAGAAATGTTATTTGCCACTTTTTTTTAGTTAGCACTCTCACACAGTCCCTCAAAAATTCACCACAAAACGTAGATTTTCTTTCACATACTCAAACTACATGGTACAAACCTATCTCTGCCGTGCTTTGAGAGACTGTGCTGAATCTGTGCGCCATGCCTCTTTGCAAAAGTTGAGGTCTTATTTATCTAACGTTAAGGGCCTCTGATTGTTGGATCTGCAAAGATGCATATTAGCCTTTACATCTACATAGGAGCAGATCCCCATTCATAAAAGCCACCACCTTCCTGAGGTAAAAAAAAAAAACAAGTAGGTTCAGGTCCGGGTTAACTTTTTCATACAGTGAGTAAATATTTTGTGCAGCAAGCTGATGATGACCACTTAGTCTAGGGTGACCAGGCATTCACGATTTAGTCCCCATTTTGGATGACCTGTTCCTAGCAACAGCTGTCCCCGATTTGAGCGTTTCCTGAATGACGTAAAAAAAAAAAATGCTGCGTGTTGACAAGAACAACTGTTTTTACAGAAGCCGTGTAGGTAGGAAGCACAAGTGAACAAGTAGCCCGCATGCAGTCCTACTGAACAACAGTCCAAGAAGCGCCTAACACACACACACGCACACACACACACACATCCCCAGATTTTATATCATAAATCTGGTCACCTTAGTCATCTGATTACGAAAAACAATCATAAGACGAAGCTACGCGTTACAATCTCAATAAAAACCAATAAAACTCTCGGAAACATGAACATACAGACCAACTAGTTACACGCGTCTACTTGTATTTGTGGAAATGTATGTGTTAAAGGAAGAAGATGACATGAGTGGTTATTGTTTTGTCATTTACTTTTTTATGGTTAAAACTTGTCTAATGACAAACGTGTCACAGGAGCTTCCTATCCTCAAAGACCACTGTCACCTCATGGACCAGAAGGGTGGGTAAGGGGGCATTACAATCTCAATTCTGATCACTAGATATGCTAAAAATCCCATTTCTACCCAATGGACCCCTGAGGAGAAATTCCTCCATGAAGACTCTGCATGCAGTCTTATTTTCAAGCAGTGAGAACATTTGCATCAGTCTATGAAACATTATTGTTTGTGCAGTCAGAGGAAGGTAATTAACACTAACACAGTTCATTAGCAGTCTTTGCATTTAATTGGGCTCTGATAGTTTTTAGAGAAGTCAATACAGCATCACAAAAACACAATATCCCTTTATTTTCTGACGCATTCATCAGCAGACACAAATCATTAAAGCTTTTGTCTATCAGGGCCGGTACTTGACCCTCACAGTGAGGCTGTGTGAGAACCTCATATATAAAGACACGCTGATATTCTGAGGTTTTATGGAGAGTGAGTGTCTGGGATTTTTTACGTTACTCTGATTTGACGTGGTTATAATAAACAGAGAAGTTAAATATGTTCAAACACGCATGGATGAGCCCAGCAGTCCATCGCCATGCTTCTACACGTATCAAAACACAAAGCCTGGATCCCGTTCTCCTTTTAAAAAAACAATAAAGCCAACTTTCTCTGCGCCCTGCCTCCACACAGCAGCAGTGTGTCCTGATGCATCGCTGCCTCTGCCTCATGCTGTGAAGCTTCTTTGATGTAGACACACCCGGCCCGAATGTCACCCTCTAAATCCTTATTGTGAGAGTAAATCCCGACAAAAGCCCCAGATATCTTACCAACACGCCAACACACACACACATGTCCCTCCAGAGCCTGGTGGTCCCCAGCTAATGTTCCCTGATCCCCCAGGAAAACACCTTTAGTGACTCTCTATCTCACACACACAGCAAATACACTGTATCTGTGCAGAAGGAAACATGGATTCTTGTCCAAATAAGTATGATGTATGAGCTTGGCCACCTTTTGGCGAACAGTCTCATGCAATATTCTGAATTTTATAACGATAGCTTGAATTGAACTCATCCATATTCTTAAAGTAATGCATCTATGAAGAGAGAGTGACTTGCATGTGTAACTTCTTAGAAAGATCTCACAGCAGACTAGTAGAAGTAACCTTTGTTGAAAGCACTTCAAGGTTTTACCTTTACAGTACATGTTAAAATTAGCTTCTTAATTTGGGACTTGCCAAAAACCCTCAGATTTTAGCAGATAAGTTTGTCTTATGTCTGGTAAAAAATCTTAATAGGCTTGATTTAGGTAACATTCACTGAAAAAGTCCAGAAAAAGTGCATTTCAAGACGTAAATTATATGTAATGTCTGGAAAAAAAGGAATCTGCCGATGGAACAGAAAAAAAAACTGAGTTTTTCTTATTTCATTTGCATATTTTTTCCACTCATTTCCAGGAGTTAGAGTCATAATTTTTTCCATATCTTGGAATATGGCTACTTTCGGGACTTGTTAGGTGACTGTGCCTTAAAGTCAGCCAAATAAAACCTTTTTTTAAAACCAAATATAAAACAAAAACTCTCACCAGGATTTAAGTTTTGATGCAGCGTTGAGAGGTTGTCACTGCATTGGTCCTGTGTCTGACCCAGCCCTGATTTAACCTGCAGGTAATGCTACCGTCTGTATCTAGATATTTTATTCTGATCACCTGAAGAAACCTCTCTGACTTGCAAATATATATGCATTTGACACTTTTGCTCAAAAAGGTTTTGCAACATTCAGGAAAATCTGTTTCTCTTTTGTTGGTTATGTGTCGTGTTTACTGAATGCAATTTTGGATATTTGTTGTGGGAAAGGAACGCTGTCACCCAGGGCAAAATTCCCCTCGGGGAACACCATATATTATCTCACACCTGTTATTACCCAAGAGAAGGAGGTTTTCAAAATAAATGCGCAGACTGTGATGATATCTAAAATGTAACAGATTCTGAATCCTTTGATGTCAGATAAATCAGTAAAACCGTGACTGTCATGAACAAGCGAAATCACAGTTTGCTGACGTTTAAGTAGATGCATTAAATGAAGCATCTTAAATGTCAGCCAGCACGACACGAACACTGAGCTGGAACATTTTTCACAATCCTGTGGCTGCATTTAATTTTGACTTCATGGCATCTGATGAAAGGGAAACAGAGCTGACAAAAGCCACAGAGAAGCCAGAAGAAAGAAAACGGCTTTCCAGAAATAATTACTGTGAGTGAAGAAGGGGAGAAAAAAAAGAAAAATAAAAGAAATGGCAGCAGTTATCATAATCCCTCTTTTTAAGAAGTTATCATAATCCCTCTTTTTTAGTTCTCTCCTCGCCCGCCTCCCTCCTAACCTCCTCTCTCTGCTGTCCTCAGCATCAACACTGCGTTTAACAATACGCCTCTGGTATATTCTCGCTTTTAACACTCTCTGAGAGAAGTGCAAACACTGAAATGAACAAATCTCATCTCGCTGTGGAGAGACTGTTACAGTAAGTGATTCAAGCCTTCCTTCTGCTTTTGGTGCTGCTGAGTGGGGGAGTGTAGAGATGTGTTTCTGAACGGGTGCTGGGAAATACCACCATACATAAAGTGTCTAAACATCACACCTGCATGGCCAGAAACAGAAATACTCTAGTGTGTAAAATGGAGAAAAAATAAGCTAAAAGATCCTCCTGTTAAAGAGGAGGGCAGATGACAGAAACAGCAAAAAATAAAACACACCACATTGAGGAATTTGTCTGGTCAGCAGTGTGGGCGCTGATCTGGAGCTCACTCATTGTGAAGGGTGCAGGTGGATGCATGTCAGCGGACCAGTAATGTCATCTTGAGTATTTAATGCCACTTAAAACGCCACAGTTGGTGTGCAAAACTGAAATAGTAGCATGAGGGGAAAAGCTTGCAAGTGTAACAAACACATGACCAAGTTGAGAAGCTTTAAGTTGCAAAAATCAAGCAAACACGAAACAGAAATTTGCACTGCAGAAAACCAGACTTAACTGCAGGTTTGTCAAGCGTTCACGCACAAATTAAAGTCACATTTCTGTTCTCGAATGTCACTCACACACTTGTTCACACAGCAACGTCCTGCAGCCTCACACTATGAGCACCATGTGATTCCAGACAACAATTTAAAAGTGATCCTGTGCGTCTTTCCACGCGTTTCTTCCCCCTCTCCAGCCGTCTGCTGAGCAAACTGTCCACCTGTCTACTATACGGCACACAGCCCAGCCAGTTAGTCAGAAAGCAGCCGCCTCAGTGAGAGTGAATGGAGGGAAGCATGAATACAGAGTACAGTACTCACGGTGGTGAGGAGTGTTGCTTTCTCTCAGTCCGCTCAGTCCTGCCTCTGGATGTCTCTCTATCTCTCTTTTTCTCACTCACTCTACCTCTTTTTCAGTATCTCTCTCTCTTTCTCTCTCTCTCTTTCTGTTTTCACTGCGATCGCAGCTCTGAACACACACACCACACACAGCAAACGCACACTCTACTCTGTTGTAGCGCTCTGCTGAACGGAATGCTCTGAGTGAGAGATGAGAGAGGGAGAGAGTGAGAAAGAGAGATAGAGAGAAAGAGGAGGAGGAGGAGGAGGAGGGGGCACGAGAGAGAGGAGAAGGAAGGCGAGTTTTATTTGTGCATGTATGCGTGTGTGCGTCTGTGTTAGTGTTTGTGTGTGTGTGAGCTACAGTAGAAAAGAGCAAGTGAATGGAGGAACACACACACACACAACACATGTCACTGTACAAATGCACCTTGATGTGGATGCATCACTAAGTGTCAACGCAAACACAAAGCCGAGTGTGTATCAACACAATGAGGACACACACACAATCACAAAAAAGCAGGAGCTTTAAAAGAGAGGAAGATGAGAATAAGGGCTGAGAAATGAGGTAAAGACCCACTCTATGTGTATGTGTGTGTGTGTGTGTGTTTGTGTGTGTGTGTGTGTGTGTGTGTGTGTGTGTGTGTGTGTGTGTGTGTGTGTGTGTGTGTGTGTGTGTGTATGTGTGTGTGTGTGTGTGTTTGTGTTTTACAGAGGTTTAACTCCACACACCATGACAGGTACGTTGCCTCAGAGGAAACAAGCCTACCTCTTCTCCATCCTTCTCTCTGATCTCATCACCTCATCCATCCCTCATTCCCTCTCTCCCTCTCTCTCTCTCTCTCATTTTTAGAGTCATTTTCTCATGAGGATAAAGTCATGAGAAAATCGAGTCACAACGTTACTTTATGGGATTACAGGCATGTTGGTGCTGAAAAATAACGTCATAATGAAGTCAATAATATGAGAACAAATTTTATGATATGAGATTAAAGTGGTGATGGAGTTGAAGTTTTGGCTCATGGTTAGAGTCAGAGGAATGTGGTGTGTCATTAAATTGTACTTGATGTTTTTGCATCTCAGCACCTCATTGTTCAAAGTAATGGGACTCTGACTGCAAAACCTCAGAGTGTAGTATCCCCCATCATAACAGGATTGTGTGGCTAATCATTGACTAAATTAACAACTCTGGATGTGATTTGCAATTTTACTGTTGTAAGAAAATGATTTAACCACTGTTTGAAATTTTGTGATAAAATGATTTTAATTGGGATTTTATTTCCTTGAGAAAATGATTTTACGAAGACTTCTCCTTGTGAGAAAAGGACTTAAAAAATTTTGAAAAAACTTTTAAATTCCAAAATATTTATCTACCTCTATGTTTTTATGGTTTTTGTGTTGTGGCCCTAAATTGTACTTTCTGGCCTCTCTACACTTATTGCTCCCTGAATTTAAACAATAAACATATAGATATTTTGAACACACAGTCCACAGTCTCAAACTGCTCAACAGTCCGTATGGAATCCAAGTTGTTTTTTTAAAAGCAAAATAAAGGGTTTTTTTCTCCTTAAAAGGGACTTAATGCGCATTTTTGGAGTTCAAGACAGAGGCTACAGTGTTCAAGTTTCAACACATGAAATTCACAGATGTTCACACAATCTTTAGTTAAGTTTTACTTCACCAGACTGCCCTTTTTTGGACAGTGTTGAAGGACGAGTGAACACGGTTGCTTGTTCAAACTTTCCCTGGTTCAGAAAGTCCATTTCACTGCTTAGCTTGTCATCCCCTCTGCACTCTGCTAAAATTTATGAGATAGGTAGCAGGTAATGTATCTCCTCCTCTTGGTTTTGCAAGTCCTGAGTCACTAAGCTGATTCTATTTTGGTGAAATTGGGTCAGAGTACCTTTAGATAACATGATCGGGAAACTGAATTAGTGTTATGCCACTTTTAGTTTGAGACCAGAAATGGGAAATTAGTTTTACAGAATCAGATAAACTAAAATTAAAGCAGTACTTGCCTGTTTCTCATTTTTCCTTTTCCCCTCCCCTTTCCGAATAGGATAAAGAAAAGGTTTGAAAACGAATAATCAAATCACGTGGTTTCCTCCTTTTGCTGTTTTGAACCCAAAAATCTAAAATAATAATTTAATTTTCCATTTATTAACTCAAAGCATGAAAATCAAGCACCAATTTCAAATTTCTGTATTTTCTTTGAGTTATTTCTCATTGCAGTTGGATGTCTAAAGTGGGTTAAAACTGCAGGCAGAAAAGACCAAAAAAACTTCAAAATAAAAGCCATTAAGATTGTAAAATTTGCCAGCAAAGACGGTCTCCATGTACAATTCAGATTAACCTCAGATGTAAAATAATGAAGTGTTCAATACTTGCTAGCATCTTTTGCCAAAATTGTACGATCTTTTGATTCAGACAGTTAAACGAATTTCCCCTCCTGGATTCAAAGAAAAAAAAGAGCTGCTGCACACACGTGTAAAGATAAAATTTACACAGAATTGAATGTAGCCTAAATTTTTAAAAGATGATTTATGATGGAAACATACGATGACTCTGAATCTATCCTGTAACTTTTTTGCGATGTGGTTTAATTTCATTTTACACGAACTTCAGTCCGTCTCACACTTGCCTGCTTCAGCATTCGTGGACAAATCTGAGACGTTAGACTGGTGTAGTTTGACATTGTCCATTATTTTGGGAAAAGAAAACAGTGATTACTTGAGATGCAATCAAGGTGCAGAAGTCACATCTGGACACTCAAAGTTACATCCAGACAGTCATCTCATCAGTGCGTCCTTTTCCCAATGGAGCGCTGCAGCCAAGCAGCTCTCAATTGGACCAGTGTAGCTGCATAACACTGGTCTGAGAGCTAATTTCACCTTTAATTAAATGTGCCAGAAGCAGTGGTGGCTGAGTTTGACCTGACTTAAAGGCATGTGAGTTACACCAATGCAGTGACAGAAAAACTAAGAAAACTCTGAAGCCAACAAAATGCTTAGAGCACAAACTTAAAGTAGGAAATGAGCTTTCTAAAGATTCATTTGGACAGTTTGCATTCCTTCCTTCATTAAGCGTTGTACTTTACAGTATCTGTTGTTCATATACCATATATCTTTTAAAAGAAGCGCACTGAAATTTAACCATAGCCAACGTAGAAGTCTTACATTTACACCAGGCTTTTTAATTTTCTTCAATTGTTTTTTAGACAAAGGTAGGTAAAAATTAAGAATTGTGTCAAAATTTAATGCTGACTTAAAATGTGTTTTTATTTGAAATTTAGATAAATAACAATGATGCATCAAATTTTGTAGCGCTTTATATTGGATACATCATTCATTCGCTCACAGTCGCACCCTGGTGGTGGTAAACTTCCGTAGTCACAGTCACCCTGGGGCAGACTGACGGAGACATAGCCGCTAGTTTGCGCCTACGGCCTCTCCAACCACCACCATACAACACTCACAATCATACACCAGTGGAGGACACACACAGTGGGAGCAAGGTGGGTTTAAGTGTCTTGCCTAAGGACACAACAGACAGATTAGTGATTGGGGGGAATTGAACCACCAACCTTCCAGTTATTGGACAATCGCTCTTCCTCCTGAGCTTCTGCCGCCACAGATGTGTACGTTTTTCACTCTGATCTGTAAATTTAATTAAAAGGCTCAAAGCATGAACACTGTGGGGTGCTGATGGCCTAGCAGTCTGAGCGGCCTAGTTATAAAGGCTACAGTCCTCAACCCAGCAGTCCCTGGTTTGGTATCCAGTCTTGGCTCTTTGCTGCATGTCTTTCCCCACTCCCTGCACCCTAAAAGATAAAAATGCCCATAAGGAATAACTCACTCTAACATTCTCGATTCCCTGAACCTGGACACTACACATTACTAAAAGAAATAAACACTAGTAGTCATGGATGTTTCATTTTCTCTCATTTCATTCATTCCTAATGACACATTGCATTTTAATACCTCAAGTCATGTTCCCAGAGGCTTTCAAAGTATTTCCAGCACACACAATCACCCGAATCTCAATCACCTAAAATCTGTTCTTTTCCAGAAGTCATTGCCCATTCAGGATGAATATCAGGCAGCTCTTTACAAATACGGAAACTGCGCGCACACACACACACACAAACACTCACTGAGTAATTTCCTCGGCCGACCAGCCCCCTGGAGATCTCCCATCACAGCCACTTAGCACCTCAGGCCCACACAGGCCGAGGTGAGACTCCGCAGCTCACCTGAACGTACCCTCTACAGGCCTCTTATCTCACCTTACACCCTCTCCTCTGTGGTTAGCAGCTGGTGTTAACACCTCCACACAGGTATGATATCTGCTAATGGGACCAGCGCTGGCCTTTGAGCAGAGCCAACTTTCAGCGTGCACTGAGAGAGAAACCCGCTGTTTTTCTTTTTTTTTTTTGCATAACCTTTTTATATGATTCTTTTAGTAACAATGAGGCTGCAAAGGTTATTTATTCAGGAACAGTTTGGCTGCTGATCTTTCTTTAACAAGTCCATACGTTATGGCATCAATTATCAGAGAGGTATGAGATGCAGTTCTGTACCTTTAATTTTCATCTTTAAAGTGAGCGCTTTTCTATAGACCCTTTTAAAGTTTGTTAGTTTAAAGCGATGTGAGGGAATTAACCGGCAAAGATCATCATAACTACTTAAAAAAGAAGAAGACTTACAAATGAGCAATGATCTCCAGGTCTCTGTGTTAGTACTGAGCAGAAAGAAGCAGGTGGATGGACATGTTTTGGTGGAAAAACACCAGAAAAAAAAGTTATGCACACAACTCACTCAGTGCTTATCACCATCTGTGGTCATGTACAGACTGTCAAATATCAGGACAAGGACTCTGAGCCTGATTCACTAAGAAGTGTCTATCATTTGCTTCTGCTCTCTGCCCTGTCTCAAGGTTTTATTCGCTAAGTAAATAACACTTAAAATTCAAGCCCAAAAACCTCCACAGTGTCGCAGCTTTGTGTAGTTTTCTCCAGTTTTTTTAAGCATGCCAGGCCAGTGGGCGACGGCAGTGTAAACTCAGTCCATCACGTCAAACACCTCAGAAGACCACTGCCTGCATGCATGATGAGCATCTTGTTGACAGAGCGGCAGTTATGCACATTGTTCCAAAAGCTGTGTATGGAGTGGAAATGCTCTTTTTATGCACACTGCAATACAACGACAGAGAACAGCTAGCTCTTGCTATAAATGTGAAATTAAACCAAATATACAAGG